ACACACACACACACACACACACACACACATACATACATACATGGCTAGTGTTGATATCCATAAGCAACAGTTAAACACTAAAAATAAAAAAAATTGGTAACAACAAAAAGGCAACAATCTTCTATATTATATATTACATGAAAGGAGGAAAATATGGTGGATCCAAATGAGGAAAATCTGACTGATGTCACATACATGGCTGATTCTATGGAAACGTGAATTGGGAAAGTTGAACCACAGATTTTAGGGAACAAAAGAGAGAGAAATAATGAGCACCATGGAATTAATTCCCTAAAGCTTAAATTCCTTTATTCATTTTCATTTTGTTTTTGTATTTTAATTTTTTTTTAGTTCTACCATAAAACATAAATCACAGAAACAATATTATTTGAAGATTACTGATTTGTTATTCATGAAAGAAAAAATCAACAAAACTCTTTTGTTTCTCCTTTTGAGTATGCTTTTTCTTTCTCCAACTGTGACTAAAAAGTGGATTGCAAGAATGAACTTAAGCCACTTTGGTTTAGCCTCTAAAGAACAGAAAATAACATTCAAGAAACGTGAAGCAAAGATAATCTTAATTGCCTGTATTTGTGCCAATATCCACTGTTTGGAAAATTGAATCCTTTTCAACAGCATCACTGAAGTCATCATGAGACTGAATTTGGTTTTCCTGTTTCAGGCCTCCTCTTCGGACCAAAGTCAGATAGACTGTTTGCCCAGTATGTCGCAAAACCTCCACTGCTTGCTGGTTGGTAAAACCTTGAAGATTGGTTCCATCCACCTATGGATTAAACATAGGTCCATGAGGGTGAAACGTCATTCTCCATGCTTGTGGGTTGGTTTCTAAATGTTTCGTTATCCAGCTAGGTAACATCTTCAGCAGAGTTTAAGGGATGTCAGTGTTCTTCTGACTGTAAGGGCTTCAGATGTGGATGTGGGTCATGTGATGGGACAGATGTGGTTGTGTCAAATGAGAGCCTTAGGATGTGGGTATGTCAACTGAGAGTCTTGGGATGGGTCTTGTGTCACCATCATCCTACATCCAAGCTACAGATACTCGCCACTATTGCAAATATATATTCTTACCAGTCATTGTACATTCTATCAAGATTGGAAAAACTGTTTTATTCCAAATTAGGCAAATCACATTTGCCAAATGTCTGCTGAAATTTGGTTTGGAGTTTGTTGCTCTCCTGAGCATAAGAATCCTATCTAAAGATAGACAGCATAGAGTTTGAAGAAAACTGTCTGAAAACTGTGCAAAGGAGCTTTATAAATTCAAATTAACTTAAATAATGCATTCAAAATTTAAAAAAATCTTCTCATCTATACAGGTAGTCGCCAGCATATAACCACAATTGGGACCAGAATTTCCATTGTTAAGTAAGGCGGTTAAGTGAGTTGCACTTTGATCATGTAAATGTGAGAAAGATACGATGGTTGTAAGTTTAAGGACCACTTGTAACTTTCTTATTACAAATGCTAAACGTATGGTTCTAATTTGAGAACTACCTATGTAGGCTGATGGGAATTGGGCAGAAAAGTTTACTGTTACTTTTGCTGTTCATCTGTATTTAAGACTCAGTTTACAAACAATACTATCAATGTAGAACCTTCAGTTAAATAATTATTTATGTTCCTCAATGAAGTAGGTCATTGATCTTATCTGTTTTCATCAGTAACCAAGTCAAAGAAGAGCATCTCTCCTAACCCCAAGACTATTACATTTTCTCAAGATCTCTGTGAAAGAATCCTCCACATTTTTCTAACATCCAGGATCTCATTTGTATTTAGTGGCCAAAACATAGTAGCAAAATGGCCTTTTCTTTATGACAGTCTAATTATTACTAACTCTCAGAGAAAAAAAATAAATGTATATAAAACAAACCGCTTGATGGGGGGGGGGGATGCCGACCTCTGTTTTATAACCGTAATAATTTTATCTTTAATATTTCCATCCATTTTATCTATTAATAATATGGTACCCTTAACATTTTAAGCTAAGTGGTCTGTAATGTCCTGAAGTAATGTTTAAAGAGTTAGGCATTATGTTTCAGTTTGTGATCTTTGTGTACAGAAATCAGACTTAATAATTTTTTGGTGGATGGCAATCAAGATCAGAGACTTCATATGTGTGATGTTTTAAGAACTCTGGGACCATCCTCCTGAGTTGTTTGTGTTGAATCCATCAAGCATAAAAACTAAATAATAGAAGGAAAAAGGGATAACAGAATTCTTCCAAGGTTACTTACAGCAATAATTTGATCTCCAATGTGGATTCTACCATCATGCTCAACTGCACTGTCTTTTGTGATACTTTTTACAAAAATACCAGAAGGTTCTGCGATTTAAAAATAAAATTGAAGTAATTAAAGGTATGTCTGAGTCATGTACATATTTGTAAAGCTGTTATGGCATGAATCCATAAACTTAAACAAAGCATATCAAGATCTGACTACAATAGTCTTTATGACTTCTAAGTACTTAAGCAGAAATATTACAACATAGTATCATTAAAGTTATCTTGCTCTAACCCAGAGGTGGGGAACTGTGGCCCTTTTATAGCTTGTGGACTTCAACTCCTAGCTTGCAGCTCAGGAGTTTTGGGAGTTGAAATCCACAAGTTATAAAGGGACCCTAGTTCCCCACCTTTGCCCTAACCCAATGTATTCACTCTAAGAAAGGAGTGTCAAACTGGCGGCCCACAGGCCAGATGTGTCAACCGCAGGCCACGCCCACACCAGGTCCATGAAGGGAAAAAACATCGTGAAATGTCACATGACGGCAATGTGACGCTGCAATGTGGGTGTCATGGTCTTAGAGATAAACTTACATTTTATCATACAGGTAATCAATTGCTACTAGATCTTAAACTGACACATTTATTTTTATTTCAGTTATAGGCACACATGCCTATGCTATAAATATACTAAGCCAAAGACCATTAATTAAAGTAGAAGTTTGACTTCCAAATGAATTACATTTAAACAATTCTGACATCAAGTTCTGAATCTAGTGAAAGAAAATATGCTGCCTCCAATGAATGCCTTTAATTATTTCAAACTATTCCAGACTACAAATCTATTGCAAAATAAAATCCGTATTTTGAAATGAAAGCCATATAGAACATTTTTCTTGCAAAGCAATTACTCTATGTATTGTGTGTGGTACTTTTAAACATCTGGACTGATGTTTAGATTTTCAACCACAAAGCTAATAAATGGATTTCTTAACTTTTTGAGCAGAATTAATTTTAACCATACCTGATATTTTATCCCCAATGTAGCCAGCAATTGTTATTCCCAACCCTTGAGAATTTTTTGTAAGCTCCACATCAAATGTGTTCCCATCTTCAACATTTTCAACTGGTGTATCTTCCAATTTCTTAAGGGAAAACACATGTAGTTATTCTTCATGACAGAAGTTCTTATGGGAAACAAAAATAATTATTCTATTTCTCACCTAAGCCTTAATATTTCACCATTTAATTCTACACATAACACACAGTACTTCTTGCCAGAATGTTACTCAGATGTTAGTTTCATAGTTCTCAAATATAATTAGTGAACCTTTAATAGAGTTAACATTATTTGTCATGGTAAGAGTTCCTCAAGGTATTTATCTTAAATGCTTTTCTATGTGATTCTGGATTCAGGGCTATGGTTTTGTGATTTCTGAGGTTTGCACATACTTTATGCTTGAACTTTACAGAAATCATTTCTAGAAAACAAAACAAAGTAAAAATCAAAATTTAAAAAATGGAAAATTGTCTAATTATGCAAATGTATACACATACATACACACACACATACACACACATACCCAGTATCAAAGAAAGATTAAATATGTTGAAAGGTCAATTTAAACATTACTTTTAAACATTGTTTCATTGAACATACTATGTTAATATATAATCGCTAATATAATCACAAAAGAGTGCTCAAAGGAAGGAGTACTTTTACTTATATTAAAATAACCCCAGTCATTATGGCTACAGATGTATGATATCGTGAGTTGTAGTTCCACACCTCTGAAAGGATGTAAGTTGTGTACTTTTATTTTTAAGCAAAACCTTTAAATGGGTAAAAGTAAAATATTAAATTTCACTTTTATCTACTAATACAGGTAGTCCTTGACTTACAACAGTTCATTTAGCGACCCTTCGAAGTTACAACGCTACTGAAAAATGTGACTTACAACCATTTTTCTCACTTATGACCATTCCAGCATCCACACGGTCATGTGATTTATGTTTGGATGCTTGACAGCTGATTCATATTTATAATGGTTGCAGTGTCCAGAGGTCATGTGATAATCTTTTGCAACCTCCTGACAGGTCAAGTCACTGGGGAAGCTAGATTCACTTAGCAACCATGTGACTAATTTAACAACTGCAGTGATTTGCTTAAAAAAACATGGCAAGTAAAGTCGTAAAATGGGTCAAAACAAATTTCTCTTAGCAAAGTAAATTCTGGGCACAATTGTGGTCGTAAATTGAGGATTACCTGTATAGCAATTCAGGAAAGAAAATTATCTATTCAAACTAAAAGATCATTTCCAGAAAGGGCATAGCTAATTGGAAGGAATGATTCAATTATTCAAATCCATTCCTCCTAAAGATTGCATTGAAAAACCTGTAAAATGAAAAAATGGGGTATAAATTATGCTACTCACAGAGAGACACAAAAACATGTTTCTGCAGAAGTATAATTTTTACCTTATCTCCATTTTCTTCACTTTGTTACTCTCTCAAGCACTTAATTCTGTTGAATATAATCCAGTTAGCTGAAGCTTCCTGCAGAGCTTGTTTACATTCTTAAGACACTAAAACTTGCTTCAGCTGATAAAGAAATATGTAGACACTTGCACCTCCTGATCTGTGTTTGCACACACCAACTCCCTATTTTATCTTTTATTTTGTACACTTCCAGCCACATTCATCCTTGCATCATTTCAAAAGGTTAAAAGGAAGAGTCACTGGTGAGGTGGGGGGAGCTATGCAAGTGTGATTAAACAGATAATAAAGAGCACAGGAGATTTTTGGTAAATGAGGTTTAGTTGGAATGAGGTTACTTTTCAGGCAACAGATGAACACAGTGGAGAAAATAAAACACCAATCCAAACGAAGGACACTCTAAGAAATAAAAAAGACAGCTGGGTAGCTAACACCTAACTAGCAGCAGCTGAAATTGTGCCAGTTGATTTAGGTGAAGAGCTACAGCCAGGCACTGGCTGGCACAGAGAGAAGCCCAGCGGTGGATGCAAGGGAGGAGGACATAAGTAGAAGAATAATCCAGATGAACTCAAAGGGCTGCAGCAGAGCAAAGGGGAAATGCTATGATGCAGTGATTGCTTAAGCTGCTATTACAGCCCTATTCAAGTGGCAGATTGAAGTTAGCAGGTTAGCAATTATTTTTGCAGGCAGGCAGGACATTTGACATAAAAAGTGTTGTGAACCTCTATCCACCATCAGTCCTGTTTCTTTAATATAAGTTACATGTTATTACCTTGTTCTCCATCATACCAGTTTGCACTGGGGTACCCAAAGGAGCTGTTGTTGATGGAGCGGCCTCCTCAATTAGTCCTCTGGCTATCACTAACTTGACTCGGTTTCCACATTGCCTCAGGACTTGTGCCACCTGCTCACCACTGATCCCAGTCAAGTCTGTATCACCAATTTTCAAAATATGGTCTCCGCTGCACAGTCTACCATGCTAGATGAGCAAACATTCAATTGTTTAAAAAAAAATTATACACAGAGGTGTCTTAGAAAAATGCAAGAGTTTTACCTACAACCTATCTTAGTTTTGGAATATATATATATTTGCTTTTAATACTGCTGTAGTAGACAGTTATTTTAAATCTTTTTATCATATGCTATCTGTTATCTATTGCAATCTATGCAATTTAAATATATTTTAAATTAATAAATGTATCATTTTTTCATGGTTCTAAGTAATAAGTTTAGCATTGCTTACATTCAAAATTTTTGTATCATTTATTGCTTTTATTCCTATTTATTAGCATATCTGCACAAAAGTCACGCCTAAATTTAGCACTGTTTTCCTCCCAAAATGAAGAAAAACATGGAAAACATCCTGTTCAAAATGTCTCATTTCTACCTTATCAGCCTAGGATTACCAAATCTACCTGAAACCAACCAAATCAATTCCATCCCTTGTCCATAAATCTATTAATGCAATGCATGTGTATATGCATGATGACTCTGGCCAAAAACCATAGCACAAAAAAAAAGAGGGGCATAAGGGTGGGACACCCCCTTCACAGAAACCTAATTATTAAATCAAAAATTACTGTCTAAAATTGCCCGTAAACATTCCCATTTAGAAAATGGATTTATCTCCTATCTGCTTACCCAACACCTAAATTGACCATGGGCTTACAAGGTGGTGATGGGGAGATTTGAAGAAAAGGGGACTGTTTTTCATGTGTGAACGGCAAATGTGTGTGGCTTAAACTTTGCTATCACATCTGCCTCACCAAGAGTAAAGACCGTGTTCAAAAATATCTCAAATACAGGGATGAAAAAAGTTCTCCATAAAGGAACTCTACTATCTGCTTTTCTGTGGTCCTCATTCTCAGACAAAACCAGCTTCCTATTTCCATAGAAAAATTATATTCGTGACCGATAGCAGTTCAGAAGCAAAGCTTAGCATTATAAATTTGGCTGAGGTTTCAAGCCATAGCTATAAGGCTCATTTGTTGGCAAAAGGTAACCCTTTAATTCAAGATGTTTTCCCTCATTGAATATTAGCATTCCATTCTTTCTATTTCAAGTAAATAAAGGTATTTATTAAATGGTAAGAAGTAATTATCATACTGTAACTCTAGTACAGAAAAATATATTGTGTACCCGATCAGCTACTCCGCCTGGAAGGATGGTTTTAACTATCACTCCAGTTGATTTTCCTCCTACTATCCCAAATCCCAGACCGGATCCATCATTCACCAACTCAATAGTCTCCACATGCTGCCAATGTACCTTTTAAGACAAAATCTTACGTTAGTTTCATTTTTTAAAAACAACCTCTAAAGATATTCCATCGGATTTGCATTTTCTCTATATAGTCAATCTCTTTTCTATAGTTACTCCAACTAATGTTCATGAATCATCAAAAGAGCCTTTTAGCGTTCTATATTTTCAGTGGTTTTACTGGCAAGTTACAGTGTTTTAACAGCTTAGTGAATAAATTATTTCGAACATGAAAGATAAAATCTTATGCTTGCTTTCCCCAGGTATTCATTCAGGTGCGCTGACTGAGAACAACTCATTTCTACTCAACTTCTGAGTGACTCCATACTAGGCGTAAAATGGTACATCTGATCAAAGGTGCTATTCAGCCGTCTCGGACCAGTTCACCAGAACTGATAGTGGAAACCACTAAAGTCGGCTCTATGCTGTCCTATTTAAGCACATTTTCAAACCAAAGTGTACGTGCGGAAGGCCAAGTGCATGCTTGGATAAGGCGCATGCAAGCAAAGTGTGTTTGCACTCACATTTGCAAACCAGTAGGGAAAGTAAGGAAATACCACCCCCTTCATCTGATACACAGGAAGGACTTGGCTTAACTCTCTCAAAGGCACCGGACTGAGACACTCTCTCTTTTTTTTTTTTTTTGTCTTCCTTCACTCCCTCTTTAATCTACACCATAAAGGCCCTTCCTTATTATCAGGCTCTCATCAAAGGACCCAATTGAAGAACAGACACTGCTTATCATTTAGGATGTAAGTACATAAAAACAGCCTTGCTGAGTTAAGCCAAGGACTCTCTTAATCCAACATTTTGCTCACACAATGGCCAACCAGATACCTCTCAGATGCTTACAAGCAGGAGATAAAAACGTATCATTCCCCCCCCCCTCATTGTTCCCCTGCAAATGGGTTGTGGAGGCAAGCTATGGCTCCACTGGAGGAGTCAATGAATAGTCAAGACCAACAATCCTTGATAGACCTCTCACACAATTTGCTTTTAAAGTAAGTTTTTGGTAATTAAGTCCACAGGTTTATAATCTGCTAAGAACTGATGAAGACACATTTTATGGAATACAGAAAGTCTTATGTATAATACGCTCCCACCACCACCAAATAGTATTTATTTTTGGTAGCTGGGACATGAGTTATAGTGTGCATTGAACCTGTTTGAACTCCTTCCTGTACTATTTTCTATACACCAAAAAAAACAGAATTGTGACTATAAGCAGCTTTCTGTGGAATTGCAACTTTACACAATAGCTAACATTCAGCAACATGTTGCAGAGACCTTTTTTATCTTCAAGAGTACAAAGAGTTGCATTGACTGCACCAACCTAAGATACAAGAAATGAGACAGACTTGTTTTCAGTGTCTACTCACCGGGTTTGAATGGGCTGAAATTGTACTAGCAGCTGACGGAGATCGAGAAATTACTGGACTGATGAGCTGAGGCAAAGCGCCCCTTGCCACAACTAGCTGGACACTCTCTTTGGCTTTCTGTAGGATGCCGATAGCCTGTTGATGTGTTATGGTCTGATCAAGGGCTTGCCCGTTAATAGCAAGAATTTGATCTGCTTCCTGCAATCTGCCATCCCTGTTATAGACAAACAAAAAGCCAAAAAAATAAGCATCATCGCTGGTATTGCTATCGTATTTGACAGTTTCTCCAAAATACTGTAGTTTTTTTTTGTTTTTAATCCAGTTTTCTATTTCTTTCAATGCAGATTTATTTTTATTTTGTTTATTATTTTTGAAAAAAGTTTCCTTGAAGTTTTGCTGCAGGCATCTTTTTGGGCCCCTTCTTGATGAGCTTCCTTTGAAGCTAATCCACAGACCCTGTCTCCTAGCTTCACCCCAGAGCTGCCTCCTCCTTCTTGCACCCCAATCCGAAACTAAGCATATTATATATTGGTTGCTTCCAGCTTTGTTTGCTATTGCCTGGGAACTTTATTCTTGACTGTGAGCCTGCTGGGTAAAAACACCAAGTGTTTTACTGCATTCATCATGAAAAGTATTGAATATTCATCAATCCACAGTTTACTTACCAAACATCTTCACAAATGTGGGAGGAGAAACTTTAAAAAAAAACATCCAAAAAAGCATCCTAATTACAAAGACCATCTTACAAAATGGACTCACACTTTAATAAAGGTTTAATAACCTCCTTTATTAAAGGTTATTAAAGCATTACACTTACAGTAACACTTTCTCAAACTTACATCTAAGTGGTCTGCTATAAAGCAGCTATTGATCTAATCTGTACTAATATGTTGCAATTAGTAAAAGAAGTCAAACTATAGACTAGTGATATAGAAGATTTTTTAATTTAGACTCTCTGAGAATATTATGGTATTCAGATAGCATTTCTCAATATTTTTCTTAATTCTTAGCAAAAAACATATTTTCTCTGTATACTGTATCAGAAAAATGAGGGTATAAAAATGTTGATATTACAGAATGTTGTCAGTGGAAATAAATACATTTTTGCATGATTAAATGTTTAGCCTGATGTAAAAAAATTTAAACAGACTTCTATGTAAAACTGAACTGGATCAGAGAAAGGCTGATTGGCAATACTTAAGTCAAATTTTATCTGTATAAAACATATTGAGCATAAACAAATTGAAATAAGCCTTCTTTTCAACCCAAATTTTTATTTATGTTATCTGTTGTTTATTGTGTTTGTATACTGCAGTGAAAGTGAAATGTTTGCAAATCTGTGTGCCTTTTTTCAGCAGAATATTGCACAAAACAGGCATAGCACCCAGACTGGATTAACTTATATGTATTTCCCAAAGGAGAGTTGGCCACCCTAGAGAACATCAACAGCCAACTGCTTTCCAACATAATGAGAGAAAGGAAACAAACAAGCATATCACCTCCCTTAATCCCATGATACACCTCCAAACTTGGCCTGCTGAACAGGGGGGAGATAGCAATAGAAATAGCACTTAGACTTATATACTGCTTCATAGTGCTTTTACAGCCCTCTCTAAGCGGTTTACAGAGTTAGCATATTGTCCCCAACAACCTGGGTGCTCATTTTACCCATCTCAGAAGGCTGGAAAACTGAGTCAACCTTGAGCCTGGTGAGATTCGATCTGCCAAATTGCAGGCAGAGGACAGTCCACAGAAGTAGCCTGCAATATTGCACTCTAACCATTGCGCCACTGCAGCTCTTAGAGGTTATGTGCCCTTTGTTCATGCTCCTGGGTCCTGTTGATTTTGAGATTCAGGATATGTTTAAATGCAGTGAGTATTAATCTTCAAAAGCACTTCAATGTTAGCTTTTAATGGATTTTTTTATTATAAATACATATAAAAAAACCAACAATAATGTCTTAGTTGATTAGCATGCTGAGTATTTGATGTTCAGTACTGCAGACTGTAAATTTAAGGAGAGACACAGAAAGCACACCATATTAGTAACCTCTCATCAAATTTCCTTCATCAATAAAAACATGCTTGGATTTAAGGAAGACAGTAAGGGTAAGGATAAAGCAAATCCTTCAAATAAATAGAAAGTAGATAAATAAAGTCTCTACTCCCACCCAACCCCTGCCAATTCTTCCCAAAGTTGGCTCACTGCTAGCATTCAGCAGAGTCCTATTTATTCTTTTGTATCTTGGATTAAAAAAGAGAAGAATTGTTTCCTGTGGCTGAAACCCTCAAAGTGTGTTGAGTTTTGTTTGAATGACAATTAAACTGGTTCAAGATTTGCTTGGTTAAAATATATGCAATTCAAAATGTTTTGTGAAACATTCTAACGAGACGTCCTTTGAGCTCAAACCCAACACATTCACTAATTCATTCATTTCATAAAAATAATTATTTAAAGGATACATTTCAAATTTTAAATATTGTTTATGTTTACAATCTATTTGAAGGCTGGCATTTATACATCTTTTTCGGTGTATAGCTTACAGGCAAACTCACCTTTGCGCCACACTTCCATCTTGAATCTCCTGCACAAATATACCAAGTTCACCTCTATATTCACTCTTCAGGCCAACCACGCTAAAACCAAGCCCACCACTTGTAGGTTTTAAAAGTTCTATTGTCTCAACAAGACGACCCTAGTAGCAAAAACAACAGGAAATAAGCCATTTTGAAAAAAACTCAAAAGCACTCCGATTTCAAAAGGTTCACTTAATTTTCATATTTGTATATTAATGAAAACAATCAAGCAACATACATCCAGTATAGACATGAAAATGTGTGTTTGGCAAGGCACTATGGTTAAGAAAACCAGGAACATTGATTGTTTGGAAAGCCTAGAATGTTCAGGACTATAAATGGATATCTTCTAAAAATGGAGGGTGACAGAAGAAGGTAATGTCAACTCACTCAACCCTGCTGCCTCTGCAGATTTTATTTAATTTTACTTATTTACTAAATGTTACCCAGGACGTAGTGGCTCAGTGGCTAAGATACTGAGATTGTCAATCAGAAAGGTCAGCAGTTTGAATCCCTAGTGCCATGTAACAGAGTGAGCTCCTGTTACTTGTCCCAGCTTCTGCCAACCTAGCAGTTCAAAAGCACATAAAAAATACAAGTAGAAAAATAGGAACCACCTTTGGTGGGAAGGTAACAGCGTTCCATGAGCCTTTGGCATTTAGTCATGTCAGCCACATGACCACAGAGAAGTCTTCGGACAGCACTGGCTCTCGGGCTTTGAAACAGAGATGAGCACCACCCCCTAAAGTCGGGAATGACTAGCACATATGTGTGAGGGGAACCTTTACTTTTACTAAATGTTATGTCACTCATCTCCCCTATAAGATGACATATGGAAACGCTATCCCTGATTGTAATCACATATGAAGAGAAATTGAGTTTCCTATTTAATAATAGAGAAAATCATTGTTAACCCAAGAAAGCGAAGGTAAAGGAAAGGACTTTGGAAAAATCAATTCGATGTTTTCAATCATCTAACTGAGATTTAATTTAAATAAAATTTACCTGTGCCATATTTCTGATCAGTAGTTCAAATTCATCGCTTGCAGGCTTCCCATTAATCTGAGGAGTTATCAACTGGAGAACAATTCCTAGCCCATTAGAAGGGTTACTGTTCTCTTGAGCCATCAAGTAGGAGTCATTGTGTAGTGAGGAGCCCACAACACTACCATGACGGGAAAGTTGCAGGTGCTCACCAGATGAGGATATGGAAGGTGCAAGGTTCACCTGAAAGTTGTATATAACATTTTTTTAAATTTAATTTAAAAACACAAAAAATACAGTTAACAGTATAAAAAACAAAATGAACAAAAAAACAATAACCACTGGAAAATATGTCCTAAAATGACACATGGCACTGAAATTGTAAAAACAAATATTACTGTAAACATTAAGAGTAAACAAATCTTTGGATTTAGTTATTTTACAGGGAAATCACCTGTGAACAAAAAGGAATTACATAGTTCCTTCAGTGATAGTTCGGCTATATACAACTACAAGGACCAACTACATCCTCACAAGAGCACGAAATAATAATACTGTATACAGGTAGTCCTTGATCTATGACCACAACCAAGCCCAAAATTATTGTTGCTAAGTGAGACAGTTGTTAAGTGAGGTCTGCCTCATTTTAGGATCTTTTTTTACCACAGTTATTAAGTGAATCACGAAAGTTGTCAAATTAGTTAGATGGTTGTTAAGTGAATCTGACTTCCCCATTGACTTTGCTTGTCACAAATTTTAGAAAGGTTGTCATGTGGCCCTGGGACAGTGTAACCATCATAAATACATACCAGTTGCCAAGAGTCTGAATTTTGATCCTGTGGCCATGGAGATGCTGCAATAGTCATCTGAAAACAGTCATAAGTCACTTTTTGTACTGCCAATGTGACTTCAAAGGGTCACTAAACAAATGGCTTTAACTCGAGGACTACCAGTGATCATTCTTTTTCATTTCTAAAAACACACTGTTGGTAGCTTTGTCTTTTAACTGCATTTGTCCCACTTCTTTCAGCAAAACAAATTATGTGCTAGGATGAATAAGATTTAAAATGTTTAACTGAGTGATATCCGTGATTTGGAGACTATCGTATCGGGAAAAATATCAAAAGCTATATAAAATATCTGTGTTGATAGATCATACAGTCTAGAAGTTCTTCTGGCTGCATTTCAGTTAGACCAGGGGTCAGCAACCTTAAACACTCAAAGAGCCATTTGGACCTGTTTCTCACAGAAAAGAAAACATTGTGAGCCACAAAATCTTTCCCATGCCTGACTATTTCCTGAGTGCCCACAAAACCAGCACAGGCATTTGAATTAAAGGCTCTGTTTTCTTATGAAACTTTTCTTGGATTTATTCATCGTTGGCCTATTGAAGGTCGAAAAGCTCAATAAATCACGTGCTGGGGGTGTCGCACATTGGTGGTTGTGACACATATTTTGAGCAGCAGGGAGCCGCAGCAGAGTGATGAAAGAGCCACATGCAGCTCCAGAGCCGCAGGTTGCTGACTCCTGAGATAGACTATGAATCTGGATGGCAGATCATTTCATTAAGAAGAAAGTCAGACTTCCTGTTTTTGTGATTCATTGTCCTTGAAGTTCATCTAACAGATTATTCTCTCCTTTCTTAGGAAACAGAATGTCTCTTAATGTATAGAAAGAAACTGATTAAGAAAGAAACATTGCTGTCTCTCAAAAATTGAAAAGGCAAAGGGAAGGCTTCCTGTTATAACTTGAGACTAGTTACAAAAGTAAAGAAAAGGATCTTAATTCATATTCATTCCATTTAAAACCGGCTAAGATTTAATTAGGTTTTTAAAAGGCTTTAGTACACACTATGGCAGACTTCTGATGTATTATTGACTACTAATTCATCTACAATAATTGATAGTGGCACTCCAGTCTAATGATCATCATTTTTAAACTCAATTAAAGAAAGTGATTTGCATGTACAAAAAGGATTGATTTAGCATGAAAGATAACATCAGACAAAGTGGCTCCTACGCAATTTTTCAGCTAGGGAAGATGGCTTACAATAATAAGAAAAAAGTGACTGACTGATTTATGGGTTATCTTAAAAAACAATCTACCAGTAAAAAGTCAAATCATCAAAAATTCGGAATTAAAATGTTTTTTTTAGTTGTGATGGAGAAATACTTTAGATCTTATAAGGAGGATCTTCAGGATCACAAGAACAAATCATTTAATACTAAACAAAGTAACCCCCACCTATTCACTGCATGCATCAATAATTAAATGTAACATCAGATACTGTATTTTGCACACTATAAGACGCACTTTTCCTCCCCCAAAAAAGTGGGTGGGAATGTTTGTACGTCTTATAGAGAGAATATTGCAGAGAGGGGATGAGGGTTGGTGCAGCCTGTCACCACTGCCGCCACTCGCTGCCGCCAGGAGACACTGGAGCCTTCACTGCCGAGCAGCTTATTGGCGGTTGGCCTCCCAGAATACCGCTAAATGACAGCAATGTGAAATGTCAAGATTGCCGTTGTTATGGAATGTTGTCCCATGACATCTTGCTTTAAAACTGCATAGCTTAGTGGTTGAAATTCTGGCCCCGATTACCACTGATGCCACTTTATATGATAAAAATATACATTTTGGCATTACATTTCCACTGCAATCAGATGATGCTTGAGTACTTAGTTTGTAATTTATCTAATTTTTTTAAAAAAAAATCTACCTCAGTTGCATTTTTATTATGTAAGCAGCTTAGGCTTAAAAAAAATCAAAGTTGGTGGCATTTATTTTTTTAAGCTTTGACCTTTAGTTGCCTGAAGAGGGAAAGAGAAAACATAGGGCAGGAAAAAAGATCACATTTACACTTTCTTCCCATATATGACAGACATTGAAGGCTTTGTAAAGCATTCAATTATACAAAGGCATGCAGCAATTCACATTTCTAATAACTGCATTCCATTCACTTTTCAGCACATTCTAGGTGGGTGTTGCAGCAACACAATTATGTGAAGAACAGGAATTCAGATTAGCTTTATTTTTCTCCCAATGTGTTCTCTTTCATAATTTCAGTGCTAATTTTAACATCCTCATAGCTGACATAAGGTCAAATAAAAAATTTAAACTGTTAGCTAAAGCATTATGTTTTAAAATGTTGGAGGACTAAATCCAATGGGCACTGACTCTTTGGTACTTTATGACCCATGATAGGAATCAGTAGAGTATGAAGAGTTAATTATTTAATGTGTGCCCTCTTTGTCTAACCCTCTCCACTGTTTTTTTTAACTAACTAATCTGAGCTCACACCTTTCTGCCTTTGCTTCCCAGGAAGACACACAGAGACCAAAAGCTCCTTTGATTCCTCTCTGGAGGATTCAATTAGTTAGGTGCTAGACTGCCTACCCATATATTGAATTTCCTATAAATAAATCTTTCTGTTATAAAACCTGCTTTGGTAATCATTGCTCAGGTCAGATTCCTGCTCTCAGGAATGCTCATATGCCCACAAAGAATGCTTCAAGCTCCAATTTAAAGAAAAAGTTCAGCACTTTTCTTATTTTAATTTGTTGCATAAAGTTTTTGGAACAATTCCATTGAAAGATATTGAATATATTTACAGATATTTATAAATCGCTGTTAACTGCAATACGCACAACCTGAAGCAAATTTTCCTTCTTAAGCCTGTTCCCTGGCTTTGCGGCATGTGGCCAAGTGAAGAAATTTGGAAGATTTTACTTCTCCTTTTAATTAAAGTTTGCCACATGATCTGGATTTGTGGCTGACAATAAGCACCACTAACTTCAACGTGTCACGTTTGGTCCTAGTTTACACAAATCACGAAGGCGTAAGAGGCTTGGTTTTGGCTTTGCATGAAGTGTTAACTTGCTCAAAAACCACTATATAATTACCATGTGGAATTCATTACCACAAGTTGCCATGGCCACAAACTTGAGTAGCATTAAAAGGCGATTACATGCATTTATAAAGAACATATCTCTGGTCTTGAAAACTCATTGTCACCTCCAAATCCAAGGCAGCATGACCGCTAATGTCACCTGCAAGGAAACACAGGTAAGGAAGGGTCCTATCTCAATCACCTGCTCTGGAGTTGGCCACTATGAGAAACAAAATGCTGGATTAAAGAACAGTCTTGGCCTGATTGAGCAAGACTGTTTTTGGGTTTGGTTAATATGCAAAACATGTCCCTTCTCCAACAAACCATGATTTTAAAAATTGGGTTATTGGTGTACAAAACAAACTCATAAAACATTATTTATTTGAACCATATTAATCATAGTTTGTGCTCAAAAATAAAAAGCAAAAGTTTCCTATTGTCATAGTAAGAAAAGAAGGAAACAGAACAAGTATATAAAGAGAGAGCAAACCCCACTCCCTTCTAGCACTGATGATGTTACCTAGTTGGGTCATGAAACGTCTGCAAGAAAACAACCCAAGCTTAGAGAGCTCCAAGGAGCCCATGGAACAATTAATGATACAAGACCATAGCTCTCTTTCTATACATTGGTGTGCTATTTGAATCCAGCCCATCTGGTTACTTTATGTCATGCAACCCCATAAAATTTGGGCAACTGAGAAAGCCATGTTTAAATTAACCATACGTATCATATCATGCAAGCATAGCCAGTCTTTGCAATGATGTGGTTATCTTATCTCTTTATATGTAAAGGGACAAACATTTGCCAGATCACTACAGAGGAAACTAAAGGCAGGAAAAACAAAGGCAGAACAAAGCAATATTATTATTTGCCATCACCATTTTGGTTTACCAAGATTATATTCTAGCTGATTCAGATATATGCCATCCATGCATATAATAATCATGTCTTAGAACATAATCCATGCATAGGGTCAGAGAACTATGAGGTAGATCTAATTGGTTATTTAATGTATGCTCTACTCAGCATACATTCCGAAATTCATACAGAGAACTTCAAAAATGGAACAACAGTAAAATCTACAAATATCCAACTTCAAATGATCTTTTCTGATATGAGATTGGCAATCAATCGCAAGCTATGTTTTTGCTAATTCATAGCCAAAGAAAAGTTGTCTGAATTAAAGTTAAGAATTCAATCCTATGCAAATATAATCAGCAGTATTACTTCCGACAAGTCTAACTTCTTATGATGTGTTTTAAGAATATCATTTCTATCTTTTTAAAAACATGTTGTGTTTAGCAAGACAGCCTGATTAATTAATAGGGTTATCCTC